CAGCAAAAATTTTATCAGAGAAACTTAGTACTCTACATAGAAGTTAAAGAAAGGTCGAAGGAGAACAATTTTTAAAAGTCTGAAGATTTTAACTTCCACTTGAAAGCCTAATACGAATTCCAAAACTATTTTAAAACGTATTTAAATTCGAAAACCACAAACCGCGGCGTGTTTGAGCAAATAAATTTATTTCAATGCGAAAACTATGATATCTATTGCAATTCTTACGAGGAAACCTTTCACTTAGTACGCAAGTCGTGCTCATTTGACTGTTTTTGGGCATTTCAAAAATGAGGTGCAAAGAATGTTGAATTCAAAATAATAATAAATTTAAATATTAAGATTTTTATCTATAATCTCTAAAATTTTGATCTGTAATTCGTCAGCCTTTAATATTAAAAAAGCTATTACTATCAGCCAATCCGTATTAGTATATTATTAATATGACTGAATTTTTTCTCAAAGATTCATTTCAGCACATGATTAACATCAATAATACCAACATTAAAAGAATATAACGATAAACAAAACCCAAAACCTTTCTCAATTCAGTATGATGATGCAGGTTCTTCAAATTATGTAAAATTTCGACCTCATTTAAATACTTTTGAAAAAAGAACTGAAGCTGTTCAAAAACTTTTTGAACAATGGAGGCAAGAAAAAAAAATTAAGCGGTTGGAAGGTAATTTTAATTAAAAAAAGTTGCTTGAATTAATTACTTTTTTCTTTTTTTTAAAAAAAACAATCAAATATCATTAAGGCTGGAGGAATGAATTATATCCAGTTTATGGAGACAATGGCGAAGTTGCGTTTTTAATTGAACGTAGTGCTTCACCATTGTTTGGTGTGGTAACATATGGAATACACTTGTCTGCATATTTAAAAATCAAAGATGACAACAACAATAATAAAATTAAAATGTGGATTGCAAAACGATCCTCAACAAAACAAACATGGCCAGGTATGTTGGATAATACGGTTGCAGGTGGTTTGCCATATAAAATGTCATTACAAGAATGTGTTATCAAAGAAGCAATTGAAGAAGCTAGTCTTGAAAGAAACATTGCAGAAAAAGCTAAACCTGTTGGAGCAATTAGTTATTTTATATCTAGTGATGATGGGTTACAACCAGAAATACAGCAAGTTTCATATTTATATTATTATATTAATTTCATTTCTTCGCTTTTGCAAAAAAAAAAAAAAATTTTTATTTTAATATTTATGATTATTTACTTCATTATAAAAACTGTGTAATAGATATGTTTATGACCTTGAATTGCCAGAAGATGTTGTACCTAAGCCACTTGATGGTGAAGTTGATAGTTTTTATTTGTGGGATACTGATGAGGTATATGATATAGTGTATTTTTATACTTTATATTTTATTATTATTAATATTTTCTCTTCATAAACAATCACAATCGATTAAAGGTCATTAAACGAATTAAGGATGGTGAATTTAAACCGAATTGTGCACTTGGTAAATATATATATTTAGTTTAATAATTGTTAAATTGTCAGTTTTACTAATTATTTAATAATTAATTACCTTAATTTTGTAAAGTTATAATTGATTTTCTTATTCGTCATTCAATAATTATCCCGGATAATGAACCAAATTATCTTGAAATTCTAACTAGAATGCACAGGAAATTAGAGTTTCCGATTTGTTATAAAGTTTGAATTGTTATTAATAAAATAAAGAAAATTATAATATGAATTTGATTTGAATTCTTGATCAGTTTTCTGATTTTCTTTTTGTCATAAATCATTTCCGATTTATTATTTTTTGTGATCCATAAAATTACTATTTTACAATATGCACATCATGAAAAATGAAAATATAATTATAATCAATAAGATGTGGATGCAGGATTTGATCATGGAGAGGTATCTAGATATTTCGAGGTAAATAATCTCAAATTGAATATTCTTAATATGTGTAGCAATTAATTAGCTTATTTTTCATATGAATATATGTAAATCTCAACTACCAGGGCCAGTTTATTAATATAGAAAAAATATATCTACATGAAAATGCATAACAGTTAGTTTTGTTGAAATTGTCTGAGTTTCTTTTTTGTGGTCTATGAGTAGATGGTGAACTTGGTGGGGAAGTAATGGTTGATACTGTTGATGTTTGTCATGATGTTATTGACATACCCAAATACTTGACATAATTTCCATTGAATCATCAATAGTGTGTATTATTTTACATATGGTACGTGCTATTGCACTTCTAAAGGTTAACAACACATGGACTAGAGAGTAAACATTGTCTGGATTTATAGATGAGGTATTTTTGATCACAATAAGCAAATGGTTTTTGTATAAGCCTGATTCTTTTTGCATGGTGTGAACCTTTAATGAATCATCAACAATATCAATTGTAAATATTGTTAACATGTGTTTTTCTAAAAAATCTATCATTTTTGGATAATCATGTTTCATCAATTGAATCTTTTGTCATCAAGAAATTTTTCCTGCCATAATATTACATCCATAAGCTTTAATATGTAAAGTTGTAATATTTACATTAAAAATTATGTAATATTTACACTGAATGTAATAATTGCATAATTTTATGCATAATATTGTGGGACCAGCTGTAAACTTGTAATAATTACAATAATTACATGAATCTGTGTCAGAAAAAATTTCCTAATGATGAGTCTATTCAATTTATTATGATCTTGCAATTGCCTATTGGAGGAGAAATCTGGTTGGTCAGTTTCAAGATATCCTATTTCAACATTCTTATTTTTATATCCACAATGACCATATAATCAATAGTGTTATAAATTTTATATTGGTTTTGCAAATGTATTGTTCATGCAATAATCATTTTAATCATTAATAATTTAGATTATATCAAATGCATCTATAGTTTCAACCACTATAATTAACATATCAAAAAAAGAATTTACAGAAACTCTCAACATTTTTATATTTGTACATTCAAAATTTCTAATAATAATAAATTAATAAATTATTAAATTATTAATAAATTTTTAAAAAAAAAAGTTATATTAAAAATTTACTCGCATAATAAGTTTATCATCTTGTGCAATAATACTTCGTTTAACTTGGTCACTTCTAAGCTCTTTATCAACATTTAAAACCTTTTCAGCTATTTTTGCTAATCTTGAAGAGGGAAATGTAATTGTAAAGTCCCTAAACAAACAAATTCAGTAAATAAATAATAAATCTAAAGTATTAATTAATTGATTGAATTTTTTAAAAAATTTACATTAAATAATCTAATTTATTGGACATTTTTTTTTTAATTTTTAATTTTGTAAAATTTCTCGTGTTACTATTTTATACCTTGAAATTTTTGGTGTTACTAAAATGTCAAAATGATCACCCGACTTTGAAAATTTAATATTATATAAAAATAAAAACATTGTATTGTTCAGGTAACAATGAAACTTTAATCAAAATCATTTCTAAAAAAAAAAATTCTCTCTTCTTTTAACATATACATAGTCAACCCCGTTGAACCGAAGGCGTTTGTGCAATCACTTTTTTTCATATTTGGATTAATGGAGTACCCAAAAACCTGAATATCAGAAAAAATCTAGGTTTAACAGGGTCTACAATATAGTACTTTCAGCATGTCGTAGAATAACCAATATTAAGCTAGCCTTTTGTTTTAATAGTCGTTTGAAAGTTTTAGCTTGGATTTACATTTTATTTTTTAGTGGAAAACGGGAAGTGATGTTACACGTGAATTTACATTTTGACCCCCTGAAATTAAGCAATGTCCACTGGTTTTTGTAAATTCAAATTCGTATAACCAATCATTTTTATTTTTATATCATTATTAATCAATCTACTGTTTTCCAATGAATCCTCTCTCTCATACTGATAGAGGTTCTATATGTAAAGCTATATTTATTCAAAAACAGCATTACTTTTCACTTTAAAACTAAAAATTTTCTCCAACATTACCTTTATAAACATTGATGAGTGGTTGAGAAGATGTAAATATTATAAGCCTTCTTCATATGGGTATATTGAAAATGGCAAAAAGCAAAAGAATAATTGATAAATTTATCAATCGATACACAGTGAATCTCGGTTTATCGGATCTCGATTTAGTGGATACTAATACTAATAAAAAATCTCGGTTTAAAGAATGAAGTACACAAATAGGAAAAAATATGGGCAAGATTATCAGTGGTAATGATAATTAATTTCCAAATTTGGTTGATAAACTTTAACACCAAGGTGATGTTTTTTTTCTTATTAATTGAAAAAAAGATTTAGATATATGGAAAAAGGAAAAATAAAAACATAAAAAGTAATGGTTTTGTTTGTTGCTAAGATCATTAATTAATCGGAAAAGTAATAGTTCTTTATTATCAAAGAAATTAATAGTCTTGTTGACCGAAAAAGTAATGGTTTATTGTGTTTGCTAAGATAATTGATCAAAAAAGTAATTTGCTAATATCTCTTTCATTGGTCGAAAAGGTAATAGTTCTTGATGACGATTTTACCTCAGTATAATAGATATAATGACAATAATGCATTTTTTTTTGTCTTTATGACAAAAAAAAGATATACCGTATATTGATTCTTTCTTATTCTTATAAATAATAATAATTATTATTAAATTCATGTTGGTAGTTTCAATATGGAAGAAGATAGCAGAGGAAATCAAGCACAAGTTAAAAGACTAGCAAGAGAAAGAACGGAGGGCTATCGAAGCAGAAAGGTTTTACGACATTGGAAAGAAAATAATTTGATCTGCAATTTAATCTCAACATCAACATGCCATGTTGACTTCTCTCATCCCTTCTCGTTATGATCATATCATGATCATTCATAGAGAGTATATATCACAACGCAACAAACTTAGTGAAACTGCAAATTCCTCTTTATAGATAAAATTACCAAAAAGACATTAAAGATTGAATGTTCCAACGGATTGATTTCGTTGATTTCTTACGTTAAAATTTCATATTTATTTATTATGAGGGAAATTTTATACAAAAAAATTTAAAATTGTTCATTTTCAAATTATACAAGCAAGGAAAATTTTATTAAAATACATAATTAAAAAAATAAAATTTATGCAATTTAAAGCTTGGAAAAATAACTCTATTAATAATAATAATAATAGATTATTGAAGCAAAAAAAAAAATATATATATAATAATCAGCAAAGAATTTTAGTATCTAAATATTATCTAAAAAGTTTTGATTAAATAATTAATTTGCGAATATCTTATCCAAAGGAGATATAATTATAATTAATATTAATATGATAATGAAATTGACATACAGTAATCGCCTAGAAATATTAAAATATTATTAATATTGTCGATAATATATAACAACCATAATTAGTAAACATCATACATAATTAATAAGTTAAAATCACATACCATTTTCAAATAATGCGTTAAAATCTTTAGGTATTGCACCATCTCGTTTATATAAAGATTTACTAATTGGATTTCTTCTTTTATTCAAAAAAATTTTTTTTGTAGTTTTCATCGACAAAAAAAAATACGAAAATAATCAAGATTTATTTATTATTTATTTATATTATATAAATACATAAAATAATCATGACTGATAATATTATTACTTCTCAAGAAACTTCTTCAACTTCTTCACAACAACAAATTATTGAAAATTCCATGAATAATAATGGTGATAATAATATTATTGATGATGATGATAATGATACAATTGCTTCTACCGGGTCAAACAACAACAACAACAATACAGCAAATAATGAACAAGGTGCTACGACCAAAATCACAACAAATCATGATGATAATTCAAAATCATCGGCGAAAGCCACATCTGATAATTCTACAACAACGCCTTCTTCAACGTCCAATACCACTAATTTACAATCATCATCGACAATAAAGTATATTACTTTATTTACTTTTCTTTTTTTTTAAAAAAAAAAAGAATCCTTGCTTAATTTTTTTATTTTATTACAATATATATATATATATATATATATATGTATGTATGTTAATAGTGTTAAAACAGAAGCAAATTCTGAATCATGGAACAATGCATCATCGTCATCATCATCATCACAATATACATTTGGTCAACCAAAAGGTTTTGATGAACGTTCATTAGATCCTGCTCTCTTCTCAGCCGATTCCTCCATGAAATTAGCAACTGCTGCTGCTAACACCACTTCTACTGCTACACCACCACCACCTACTGCTACACCTTCTTCTACAAACGATAACACAACTAACGCCACAACCGCAGCCACCTCTGTACCTACTCCAATTGCGACTCCCAATGCTCCTATAAATTATTATAATCAAGCACCAATCACTTTTGATAATAGGAATGGTGCAACAGGTTTTGTTTTAACAACACCTCCAACACCACAAGATTATCCTTCAATGACTTTTACTGGCCGATTTACAAATGGTATAGCTGTCATTCCATCACCAAGTTTCAATATTTCACCAAATAACAAACAACAACAGCAACAATCACCATCAAGACAAATTACTTCACCTCAAGAAATGATGACAACTTTCAGTTCAAGAACTGTTTCTTCGACTCCTAAAAGGTATAAATGTACTGTTTGTCAAAAAAGATTTACACGGCCAAGCTCCTTACAAACTCATATGTATAGTCATACCGGTGAAAAGCGTAAGTAGATTGATTGATTGATTGACTATGTTTATGTATTTATTTATATTTGAAATCATTATATTAATTGTTTTATTTTACTTTTGGTAAAATACATAAAATATATTACAGCATTTAAATGTCCAGTAGATGGTTGTGGTCGTCATTTTTCTGTCGTTAGTA